TGGTAAAGCTTGCTGTATGGATATATCTGTCTGGATCCTGGGTCTTGCTAATACTTTTTTCTACCTCCAACCTAGGGATCAGTCTAATGTGCGACGTATGCACACAGCTGTCAAGCTCAATGAAGTTGTTGTCAACAAGTCCCATGAGGCCAAGCTGGTGCTCCTTAATATGCCTGGGCCACCACGAAACCCTGAAGGTGACGAAAACTGTATCCTTTCCTGTCAGGCACAAGGGGGAGTGGAGGTGGTTCTGAAGAATTGTGTTGCGTTGTTCCTTTGACTCCTTTCCACCTGCAGATATGGAATTCCTGGAGGTCCTCACAGAAGGGCTGGAGCGTGTGCTGCTTGTACGGGGTGGAGGCAGCGAGGTCATCACCATCTATTCATAGATTGGGAGGTCTTCCTCCTGATGAACTGTATTCAGATTGATACCTGCTTCCTACCTGTTCCCATGTGCCACTTGGATCTCCCAAGGAGACCAGCTATTAACACCACACCTATTTGCTTTCATTTCTTGTGGCAATTCAGGGTCTTCAAATTGGGTGCTTTTCCCAATGTTTGGAGGATGGATAGTTGGCAATTTCTTCAGCTTCCATCAAGTTAGAGCTACACACTAGAATCTTCACAAGTTTATTGTGAGAGGGAAATTAGAGAAAGGAAGGAGACTACTCTGTCACACTCTCAAGAAATGTAGGAGCAGTTGCAAGTAGTAACTCTGGAGGGCATTAGAGGAGCAAAAAATCAGGGATGCTCCACTGTAATGGCTGTTGCCATTACAGGAATGAAGTGACAGGATCCATCAGCTGGATGGGTAGGTTTGGCACAGCTGGAGAAGCTGTTACATGTCATTATTATATTAAGAGGAAAAAGAAGGGAAAGGAGATACTGTTGGGAGACTTAAAAGGGAAATCTATCCTTCATCGTGCCATTTTCTTCTGGTCAGCACCAAAGGTTTTTTTGCTTTCCTTCCCACTGAAATCAAGAAAGGCCACAACGAGCACTTGGAAAGTTGGAACTTACTTTTTAGAGTGCTTAATCCTGATCCCTTGTGATATTCTGAAAATCAGATATACTGTTTGCCAACAAGGGAAGAGAATGGCTAATTCCCAAGTTAGGGTGGAGGCAGCATATTGATGGGCAACATCTTTTCCATATGGCCTTTGCACTTCTAGTGAGTTAAGGAAACTATGAGCTGCCTTTTCCTATTTTTATAGATATTCTGTAGAACTGATTGCTAGGCAGAAGGCGGCTGTAATATTTTGTTTTTATACAGTGGTGGGAAAAGGAGTTTCTGTCCTTGAAGAACAGGATTTTCCGATTTTCCTAATTATCCTCTTTGCTTCTGAAGAGGTCCACCTCTTCCTTCAAGCTTGGATAAGAAGGAAACTAACGCCACATCCTCTGTGCTGAGCAAGTTTGCCCTCTTTGATGTCAGTGACAAGGATGTACGTAAGTGTTGGGATGGAGTTCTTCCTCACCTCTACTGAAACAAACTTAGGGAAAGGTGCTGTGTCTATTTCATCCTATCTAATTTCAATGATGGATGTCTCCTCCTTGAACCTCTTGCTCAACAATAGTATACAGGGACCACTCCCTCGGGGTAGCCTTAAAAGACACATCTCAAGCCTCTCATTTTATTTTTGAGAGAGAATTTCACAGACAGTTTTTCATTTCTTATTTTGGCTGAGACTTTTTTAATTTATTCAGGGTGCAACCTTGTTTACATCGCATCAAAACTGGGAGTGTGATTTGTTTTTGTTTTTTTGCTTCTTGAATTATGTAAAGAATAAACATTTTATATACAATTTTTATTTTAGTAGTTGTGTATAAGTGGTTCCAACTGCAGAGCTCATGCATTCATCATGTAAGATTCAATCACTTTACAACCTTTCTGTCATTTATAAAAAGCAGTTAAAATAAAAAGTAGTGTATGTTATATTTTACATATTTAAACATGATAAAGAGAACCTAAATTCAGTGCCCTAGTTCATATAAATATGACTGTGAGATTAATGTGAACAGGCAACTGTAGACCAAGCTTATCTTTTTTCCAGTAAATTCGTATCAGTGGCTTAAGAATCAGACAATGTGCATGAATATTTGAGTAACTGTTCTGCATGAAGCTTTTGAAATACTTTCTACTGGCGTTCATGCAAAGAGCACAAAACAATTAGAATGCTTTAAATGTTCAAACTCCATCTCTCCCACAAGAAATCATCAGGCACATGCCTATACCCTTTTCAGCTGGCTTTAGAATAGTAAGATCAAAATCTTGTTGGGGGTTAGAATTACATATGAATCAACCTTACATTCAGTCAGACTATTAGCCCAGAACTGGGAGCTTTGATTTTGGCTCTGCTACAGATACCTTCCTGAATCACCTATTTCTTCATAATTTTTAAATGTCTTCTACTTGAAACACTGTGTACTACTTCTACTATTATGTACATGTTATAGAAAAATGGATTCTCTGATGGTAGAACTTCAATGAAGCAATATACACAAACTTAAAAGTTATCATTTTAATTCTGCTTTTAACAGAGGGGAAATTGACAGGGCAAGTCCTTTGCTTCAACCTCCCAATGCACATCAGTCCTTCCTGTTGTGGATACTGTTCTGTAAATGCTCCTCCACTGTTTTGCAATGTAGCAACATGCACTTAAAATCCAGCAGCTTTATGAGGGAGTCAACAGCAATGAAGAATATTTCACAATAGCAAGACACACACCTAGAGCAGCAGTTGATTTCTGGAAATGGGCCAGGTCATAAGATTAGACCCCCACCTGTATACTCCATACGCTAGGCAGAAGACAGAAAATAAGTTGAGTGTCACAGACCCCAAGTCAGCATTTTTAAAATTAAGCTACCCTTACTTTAAGGTCCTAAACAGAGACTAAGCAAGATAATGTAAAAACTCCCATGAGATCTGGGCTCTTGTAAATTATGCCATCATCTAATACTGCCCTTTTGTGAAGTTAAGAGTGCAAAAAGGGACTTGGCAGCTTTGATCCAAGAAATTTGTCCTGTTTACCACCTTCCCCATCCCTCAGCTTTTTCTCAGCAATATATACAGGATACCTAAGAGATGATCCAGGGGCGGAGAGGGGAGGGGTGGGGGGAGAGTTCCTCATACTCTTCACACTCACCTCAGGTGGTTCAATAAAAGCCAGCCAGTCAGAAGCGTGAGTTGGCAGTAGCCCCATTGACTGGCACTTGTAAACAGCCAAGGCCAATCCTAACAGGTTGCCAATTAAATATACCAGTCCCTGAAGAAACTTCTGACTTGAGCTTTCAAGTAGCTTGAAGGCTGTGGGGACAGGAGAAAAGAAGTTAAAGGAATACTCTGGACTATGAAATACTTACACAGGCCCACTGGCTGACAGCACTGGATATGAAAGCCTGTTTGGGGATGGGTTTTGCCATTCAAGAAAAGTGCAGTCTACAAACTGAATAATGTTTCCAAAAACTAGGTTAAGAAAGAGATCTGGGCATCTTATTAAAATGCTAGTATACAGTCAGGTCCAGAAATATTGAGACATCGACACAATTCTAACATCTTTGGCTCTATACACCACCACAATGGATTTGGAATGAAACAAACACAATGTGCGTTAACTGCAGACTGTCAGCTTTAATTTGAGGGTATACAGATGGACAATGACCCAAAGCATACTGCAAAAGCAACCAAAGAGTTTTTGAAGGGACGGAAGTGGACAGATGGACAATGACCCAAAGCATACTGCAAAAGCAACCAAAGAGTTTTTGAAGGGACGGAAGTGGACAGATGGACAATGACCCAAAGCATACTGCAAAAGCAACCAAAGAGTTTTTGAAGGGACGGAAGTGGACAGATGGACAATGACCCAAAGCATACTGCAAAAGCAACCAAAGAGTTTTTGAAGGGACGGAAGTGGACAGATGGACAATGACCCAAAGCATACTGCAAAAGCAACCAAAGAGTTTTTGAAGGGACGGAAGTGGACAGATGGACAATGACCCAAAGCATACTGCAAAAGCAACCAAAGAGTTTTTGAAGGGACGGAAGTGGACAGATGGACAATGACCCAAAGCATACTGCAAAAGCAACCAAAGAGTTTTTGAAGGGACGGAAGTGGACAGATGGACAATGACCCAAAGCATACTGCAAAAGCAACCAAAGAGTTTTTGAAGGGACGGAAGTGGACAGATGGACAATGACCCAAAGCATACTGCAAAAGCAACCAAAGAGTTTTTGAAGGGACGGAAGTGGACAGATGGACAATGACCCAAAGCATACTGCAAAAGCAACCAAAGAGTTTTTGAAGGGACGGAAGTGGACAGATGGACAATGACCCAAAGCATACTGCAAAAGCAACCAAAGAGTTTTTGAAGGGACGGAAGTGGAATTCCTACACCGTTCACCTGAGTTGGATGTACATACCCTCAAATTAAAGCTGACAGTCTGCAGTTAACGCACATTGTGTTTGTTTCATTCCAAATCCATTGTGGTGGTGTATAGAGCCAAAGATGTTAGAATTGTGTCGATGTCCCAATATTTCTGGACCTGACTGTAAGTCATCCATAATTTAGCAAGGAGTCAACCTTACTAGCTTTGAATTTTTACCATTGGGGATTTAACTGATTTGCAAACAATGAATCCAGGCAAGGGTTCCTGCCACTGAGGAAAGTTAATGGGTACATGATCTATTGGTAAAGTAATAGTGCCAGAGAACTCTCCTCTAATAATCAGCAATTCATTTAATGCCAAGTACTTATCAACTCTCCAAATTTATACATAGTAATGGGAAAATGACAGATGTACCAAGTTTTTCCCAGAATACAATTTGTGCACTATACATCCTATCCTTTACCTGATTTATAAGATCTCCTGAGAGTCTGATTTTTCAAGTGTGATGCACAAATCAATATTCCATTTTATTTTATTAGTTTCATGTCATTACTAAAATGGTGCTAAGGGCAAAGTATGCCATATTGTATCCTATCTGAAGCCTAGGACAAATCTGGATATGGATCATAATCAGAGGGATTGCTCTGGACCAAGCTATAAACAACATCACCTTTTCCATATGAGCCTCTAGAACAGTTTTCCCAAATCCAGCTGGCACATATTCCTTATTCACAGGATTCAGCATAACTTATGGTACAGCAGTAACTTATTTATACTAACATTTGTAAACTGCCCACTCTACAGATTTCCAGTATTCCCATAAAAAAAAAAAGACATACTTGCATGTATCATATTTTTGAAATTGTTCAGACTACACTTTGGAACACAGCCAGGAGTGCACTATTTTTTTTTTTCCTAATTGGAATCACAGCCCCACAAAATAGTAAATGGAAACAGAGTGGGATAAAATAATACTTTGGGTGGTGATACAAAGAGACTTACTGGCAGAGATGGACATTAGTGCTTGGATGGGCCTCCAGGCCATCATACAGACCATCATGGTGGGGAAGATAGAGATTGTATTCCCTGCCATGTACATGATGAATAAATTCATAGGGATTTGCTTCAAGGGACCAAGGGCAATATCCCAGCAGCGCTAAAACATTTAAGGAGGAAAAAAAAGATAGAATTCAATAAGCAAAGTCTATATAGTTCTACATTTCTAATACTCAACTTTTCTCCCAGCTCACAAACTCCCTTTCCAGCACACTACCTTTTCAACCAGGATGCGATCTGTCTCCTGAACACTTGTGTCAGGCACCTGCTTATCTGAATAGCCTATGGGGTAGAGGGTGTCTCCTTGGCTGCTGCCACGGTCACTTCGGCCTCTGGCAAAGAAAAAGAGATTCCTCATCCAAAATGCATATACCCATCATTTATGGATTGCTTATATGGGGAGACATATATTGGTCTCTTCCTAGGTACTTACCTACCACCACTGCCTGGACCACTCAACTCAATGGCCCATTTGAAACGTCGTCCACGATTGGTCACCAATCCCCCTCCGGTGCTCATCACTGCCTGTAAAAGAGGTAATGCACACTCTAAATAAGATCCTCGCTTAGATATTAAAGAAATAAGCAGCCTGACCCTTTTGGTCACATGTCAATGATCCTGAAGAAATCACAAGCTTCCTCTCGCACCATTGCCTCCATTCCATTTCCAGCTGCCATAACGACTCTAGCTAGGGTTTAACATTGCAATGGAAGCTGGGCACCAAACCTAGGAAGCTCTTGGTTTCAAACTCCACGATTACCACAGATCATCCAAGCAACGTTTGCATCTGACAATTCAAAGACACTCTTGTGTATAAGCGTCACCAAAATTTTATCTCAACCCACAAGTATCCACCCTCCCCTACCCATACAATAGCTCTGCCTCCTTCCAGAATACAGTGGTACCTTGGTTCACGAACTTAATTCGTTCCGCGACCCGAATCAAATTTTCCCATAAGGTTCAATGTAAATATGGTTAATCCGTTCTGAACCATATGTATTTTTTTTTTAAACCACAAAAATA